TTCATCAACCAGTCCAGTCAGTTGCACAGACACAGGTGAATTCAGCTGCAGTGTCTCCAGTTTCACAAGTACCACCGTTCATACATGGAACCCCCGTACAACCAACTGTGTAGAGATGTGTAGAGATACTTAAAGTTCAAAATATATAAGGACATGAAAGTGCCAGTCCTTGCTGACACCATGCAATGCTTGCTATGTGTCCATGCACGCATATTTCAAATATACAATATACGATGCCTATACATGACACAATCAATTTCACAATGCAGTTAGCTGTTGCTGAAATTAGCAAAGTACAATTGTATAATGTTTGATACATTTGCTATATTGATCATATCTCACCTGCTATGTCGTTATCCATCACTTCGATCATAAAACCTTTCTCGGTTTTCTCATGATCACTTTCAAAGACAATCCACAGCTGATGGTTCAGAGACACAAAGTTGTCAGGAATTACTCTACCGGAATGGTGTAAGATGCGAGTGTATGCATCCTCTGGATTTCTACCATGCCCAATAGAGAGCCAGTCATAGTGGAGCTCTGATTCAAAGTCATGAAAGATAACACGTATCTTCTTGCCTGGTGTGATGGAGATTAACCAGCGACAGTACTCATTGTTTTCATAAGGAGACGGGTAGTTTGGAGTGAGCACTTCCAAGCTTCCACCTTCAGGGATGTAATATTCAGCAATACAACCAAGTACTAGAAGCAAAATAGTGAAACAATTAAATCACAACTTTAATTGAAATCTACCGTAGTTGTCCCAGTATAAACCCCTGCTTGAGTTAAGCCCCCCCCCTCCTCCAAATTTACAGCATTTTACAACAAGTCATTTATCCGATTAATTTTTCGTCAATTTGGCGTTTTCCCAGAGGGGTTTATATTCTGACAATAGGTGATTTTCCGTACAATTGCGAGATCTCGCAAGATGCATGAAAGACGCGCGTCGAACGTCTGCTGCAAAAATCGAACGATTTGATTTTGAACTAGAATTTCTTTATTTCGCAGCTTACATTGACCGGCCGATCTTCGACAGAGGAATATTGCTTCCGAATACCCTTACTTAATCGAAAATGCCTATCATCAAATGTGGACAGCACATTATTAAGCATGGAAATGTCCCCGGAATACTTTCGTGTTTGTCGAATCCCACGCGATGTTTGACGCGACTACGACGCTATGACCTTTGTTTGTCCTGTTTTTACGTTCGATTTCACGCATAACGCGTGATTCTCGCAGTGAACGGAAAATGGTCTATTACTCTTTCATATTCTGCAAGATATATTATAAAGAATGTAATTACTACTCACAATTCTCACAATTTGTGCCACCAAATCCAACTGGACATTGACAATTGTAGAAATTAAGAAGGTCAACACAAGTACCACCATTCATACAAGGATTGGGCGCACACTCATCTACATCTGAAATATGATTAAGATTTCCAGTTACATTGTATTTCAACATAAAAACAAAAGATTTAAATTCAAGAAATACATGCTACTGTAAAGGGGTCAATTATTCACTGGGTTTTAATTTTGTTTATTTCGCTGACTGGAAAATGCACTAAATTAAAACCCGTAGAACACATTGTCTAAATGATAAAACAGTGAATTTAAAATGCACTGAATATGCCTGAAATGGTAAGTCAGCGAAATTTAAACCCAGTGAAAGTTATTCATTTTACAGTATATCAATCTCTTAACTGCTCTATAGGTGGAGCACTAAAACATTTACAAATAAAGTAATAAAAATAATAATGTAAACTGAGTACTGTAAAACATCAACAATCTCATTTTGAGAATATACTTTATTTCAAATTAGTGACATCTTGAATTGGTAGCGAAATTAAAGATTAGCTAAATTAGCTTAATTAGCTAAAATAACATGCTAGCAAAAAAAGACATGTTTTACAATATATGTAAGAAACAGAAGACAAGCGAGAGAGGATATTTGTAAACCAATTTTAATTTTGAAAGAGGCAATGATTTGTGAATTTGGGATGATTTGTTTCCAGAATATTTGTTATTTGATTAATAATTTGAGGAAATTCACAGGGAATGACATAACAGACTGCTACAAAATTTTCACAGACTCATGAAATCAGAGCAATACACCGTTTTGCCAAAACAGACAAGACTTAATTGTAATAAACAGTTTGAAAACATGTTTGTTTTGTGTAATGTCATTTTACATGAACTGATTGCAACTTACTAGTTTCACAGAGAGTACCAGTAAAACCAGGCATACAATTGCAGGTATACATGTTAATATAATCATTACACACTCCACCATTTTGACATGGGGAACTGGAACACTCGTTGATATCTGTATGGACAAACACAAGTTTTAGTTAGTTTCACCATATCGCAAGAATAGTATTTGAGCAAATCAACAATATGGGATTCCTAGTGATGAAATAAACCAAATCTCAAATTCTGTGAAATACTTTATTTTCGCTTGGAATTAATTTTCGCTATTTTTGCTGAAGGGCTGATTCAGTGAAAATAAAATCCAGTAAATATACTTTTTTTCACATTCAACTCGGCAGAAATCTATGAAAATAAATTCCATACAAAACACTTTTCAGCGAAAATTCATTCCCCAAGCTAAAATAAAGTATTTTACAGTACACCATTATTGACTCATCATTTATTGCTATGCTGTAACATTGATATAGTTTAAACAAAAATTGACTTTACCAAATTCACAATCCACGCCTTCATACCCTGGTGGACAGTTACAACTATACATATTTATTCCATCAGTACAGGTGCCACCATTCTGACATGGGTTACTGTTGCATTCATAGAGTTCTGGATGAAGATAAAAAGCACAATTGTTAACACTTAACAAGAGTCCCTGCATATAGTACAAGTAAGTCCCAATACAGGTAATGATGAATGCACAGTATCCATATAATTAACATTAAGGGAATCAAAAATGTCACTTGCCAATTTCACAATTGGTTCCTCTCCAACCAGCTACGCATTCACACAGATAATATGTTTGATAGTTAGTGCAGGTACCACCATTCTCACAAGGATTGATAATACACAGGTTAATGGCTGCAACAATACAATAAAATACTCTAAATTTTCAAAAATATTGATTTAATGAACGATCATATTTGTCCATCAGTAGTGTATGTGGTTACACAAAAGTCAGAGGAACATATAGATGATCAATATAGTTGTGCTTCTAGTGCAACAAATGATTTTTATAATAATGTATACATGATATATTAAACAATGGAAAGAGATCAAACTATTACTTAAGTTCTCTATTGAATCAGAGTCCAAAAATAAAGTTAGAAAACAGAAATGTACAAAATATAATACACTGATAGGCGTTTTTCTAGAAAAAAAAACTGCAAGAGGGAGCACTGCAATTCAGCGACGTCATCAAGTGGGGGAGATAGGGTTCTCCCTACCAGGGTGTGGTGTTTTTGATAATACTAAGTTAAAATGGAGCATTCTATGGCTTTTTTGGGGCCAAAATTACTATCAGACAGGTCACAGTTGAAGACTGTGGTCACATGTGATCCCTGATCAATCAGAATTTTATGGATCTGCTCCCCGGGGTAAGGGAGCACATGGCCATGGTATGAGGGTCAAAAACTCATTTTATCACATTATGTTAACTACAGGTATATACTGAAACGAAGAAGGGATTTTTTTTCAAAATAAAACAACCTTTAAAACTATACATACATGAAGTCAGCACATCTTGACTTTAAACCACAAAAATGATTTTTATTCATTGCTAAACCTTTAGTTTGACAAACTTAGTTGTAATAACTTTATTATTTTATATATACTAAATTCAAAATATCTAAAAATATACTGGTGGAGGACGGGCATTTTATTGTTATAAATCATGTTAAGATTAGAGTCAAATAATTCAATTTATGCTACAAAACATTGTGTTAATTTGTCTAAATAATTGATTCACAGTCATCAAATTTAGAGGGGAGGCAAGGGGGGTAGCTGGTACGGTTTTACGGGAAATAAAAAGGGCTTTTCACAATTTACGAAGAAAAAAAGGACGTTTTTACAGTTTACAGTGTTAACAAATGGAACATTGAATGGTCCGAAGAGCTCTCCAACTCAAATTCTCTACCATTGCTGCGCCGTGCGAAGAGACGCATGCGCATATTACCCTCGTAATGCTCTTCATTCGGTTAGAGGGCCTTTTACGTCTTGACATTCAATTTTGTAGTGAATTCTGTCATCTAGTCGTTTTACAGTTTCTAAAATGTAATTTCCCTGGATTATTCTTTACGATTTTTTTATTTGGATGTGAATTTTTGTACGTACGAGAAAAATGACACATTTTTACAGTGTACGAAAAAAATATTTGATTGATTACGTTGTACGTCTCGCCTGTGATTACAGAATTACGGAATTTATTTTTTCTATTTACGTTGTACGAACAAAAAAATATTGCAATTACGTTGAACGAAAATAACCCTTGCCCCCCCTCAATTTAAGAGGAGATGGGCCAGACCCCTCCAAACCCCAACCCCACCAACTATCAAACAGAGTGAACAAAAATAGTTAAGGCAAATGTATATCCCAATGGAAAGATGTTTGCAATACTCTTCTACTCACCCATCTCACAGCGAGTGCCTGTCCACCCAGCTAAACAAGTACACAGGTAACCATTAATTTGATCATTACAGATGCCACCATGCTGACAGGGCCCACTAGAGCACTCATTAATGTCTATAAAAAACAAAACAAAAATTGTAAAAAATTTCTGCACACAATTCAATAAACATATTTTAAAATCAAAGTTGTTTTCTTTAGTGTTCCAGCTTGACTTATGCACATTAAATTATACTTTACACAAAGTTGTACTGTACATTAAAATATTGACACCTGTATAATGTAAAACATGCAATATGTATGTTCGTACTGATGTTGCCTTGTTATGGGGCATACAGGAGGGATGGGCAAATTACACTTAATAATTACAAAGACGTATGTATCGCAAGCGCAAAAGCTGCAAGACAAAATAAAATTAATGAACACAAACTAAAAGAGGTTAAATAATTATAAGATTTCAAATACAAATGAAAAACAAATAAACTGAGAATAATTACAGAAGAAACAAAGTAACTGGGTGCAATATGGTATACCTTATGGTTTTACGAGCTGAAATAATAAATGCACCACATCCATCATGCAGGTGTAAAAGCAATTATCAAACCTATTTCACAGTTTGTCCCACTCCAAGCAGCTGTACACTGGCATCTATAACTATTTATCTGATCAATACAGACACCTCCATTAATACATGGAGAACTGTCGCACTCATCCACCGCTGTATGAAGAATTTCAGATGTTAGTGAGTATATTATCATCAACCAACAATATTGCAGATAAATTCAATGAACTGCTGCCTCTACTACTATTAATAATACTTGTATATTACTTAAATATATACAGAACAACAAATCTTTAAAAAAAAATTTTGAAAATGAAAAATTTTAATTATGACAAGCTTTGCAGGAATATGAACTGTAAAATTCATACATGCAAGTATGAACTTAAGAGATGGAACATAGCAACTCCATCCAAGTCTACAGGTGGTTTTAATGCAATGGCATATTTAGTAGCTCAGTAGTTTTATTCTTATACTAATTTTCATGTTTTTTCTTTTATTCTTAGTTACATGTATTTAATGTTTTATTCCTGATTTTGGTAGAGTGAAGTATATATTAGTTTTGCTTTGTTTTAAACAATAACATTATGTTATCTTATTTTCCTCGTTTTATACTTACATGTATTTAATGTGCTATTTGTGTTTTTGTTTTACAACCATAAAATTACTCTCTGTAGTAGATTTTCGTGTTGAATAATATTATTATTATATTATGCAAATAAAATTTATCACATTGGCACAGATATATGGGTTTATAATTACCTTTTTGACAATTATTTCCTGTCCAACCAGATGCACAGTTGCAGATATAACCATTGATAATATCCATACATGTACCGCCATTTCGACAAGGAAAACTGGCACACTCATCAATGGCTGTGTGATCATATGATAAGTTTAGCAGATGCCAACATAATACCGATACATAACAAAATAAGAAGTTTCATGCAACAGACATAGTATTCGCAAGATAGCCAATAACCGAACATCATCCAGCAGTTTCAGACGTTGGTTGTGATTGAATACCTTGTAGCATCTTAGGGTGTCACCAAATCACATGCGATAATCAGTCCCTAAATTGACTATATCGCAAAATTAATATTCGTTTCCAATAGGACCCTCTCTTTCGTATTTCTAAGACCGTTTTTTTTTTTTTTTTTTTTTTACTCAGGTTACCACTGCATCCAAGTGAACTTTGAACATTACATACCGGTACTACCAAAGTTAGTTGTGTTTAGCGTAAAATTCAAAGAGCAATTCACGGCAAGAATTTAATATAGTGAGGATAATAGATATATAAGCAAGTAGATAAACAGCGCAATGCGGCAGGTTTCAATCAGTATAACTCACAACCACCGTTACTCACGGATTTTTGGCAATGTTACTCACAACAAGTTTTGCTGACAATACAACATATACATATAAAAACATCAACATTTATAGATCTTTGTTCGAAAGTTACAGAAGAAAGGATGTGATAAAATACAGATAGTGTAATGGTTTCCCTGTCACCATTCGGCAATTAAAAAATTGTTCGTAACATTTTATGACCTCGTATTTGAGGGTAAATGAATCTAATTGAAGTTAATGACAAATTTACAAAAGCATGTCTCGATGAACTTCAATGTGATTTCTTGTGTGTAACAAAGTATTTAGTATTTCTTACATTTTGAATGGCAAATTATTATCAGAAAAAATATTTTAATAAGCATTTCGCAATGTACAGTTCCCATTGTATACTTAAGGTTAAAGACCATAAACATATAGAATTCTGTATGTTATAAGGCGAGTGATAAGAGTAGTTTTTATGTGTGACATAGAATATAAAATCAGAGGGGAAAACCTTTATCTTATGGTATTTTTACTATGGAGATGCACATGTTATGCATGTGACAATGAATGATATCATGTTTATAGCAAGAAAACAACTGTCAACAGCATAGCTCAAATTATTAGTATAAAAATTCCTATTCATAATCATTGACTAACCAAAGCACATACTGTAGAATACTTAATTTTTACTTGGAAATAATTTTCGCTAAAGGAATGATTCAGTGAAAATAAAATTCAGCTAATATACTTTTTTTCTTATATTTCACATTAAACTCATCAAAATCAGTGAAAATAAATTCCATACAAAACACCAGAGAAGTCTTTTCAGTGCAAATTAATTCCAGCTAAAATGAAGTATTTTACAGTTACTGTACTTTATTTGTGTGCAATCTCTAGACATACACATTTAAGGATGATTTAGCTCTTAGTTCTGCGCATAGTGATCATTTTTACATAGTTATTTTACAGCTTCAAGAATTATGCATATGCAAAAAGCCTATGAAGTTGCAGTACTTGAGTGACCTGATAGATGGATTGAGTCAGCCATCTTGAGTTGAATTTACAAATAAAAGTGACCTGCATCAACTTGAAATGAATCAGTCAAGGGATTCCCCCAAGATAAAGCTCTGGATGCACGCACACATGGATGCATGCATGTTCATACACACAGAAACTAAATCATATTTCCCCGTTTCAATCTTAATTCAAACAGGGAAACAGGGTAGGTGTCAGAAAAATTCCAAGTGACTAACAAATCTTTTTACATATTTGGTCTGGGTGATATTGTCACCATTTAACGTACATGTAAGTTGCAGATAGACAGTTAAAAAAAAAATATATTTTTAATACCTGTTTGACAGTAGATACCAGTATAACCAGGGCTACATATGCAGTGATAGCCATTCAATACATCATTACATGTTGCACCATTACGACACGGATTGCTAGCACACTCGTCAATATTCACAACTTTGTTGCAATTCAATAATTATTAGAATATATGAATAATAAATAAAATTTGTATAACGAGGCACGTTTTTAATTACTGGGATATACAAGATACTAGATGTTTATTTCAATACAGACAGACCAAGTTTGGTCCTAATTAAAAAAAAACATGCTACCAGTAATTAAGAATTAGTTTAGATGTATACAACAAAAACAAGCATGCTTTAATTGTTGTTTGATACTGCATGCGAGAACCAAATGGGATTACTCTGGCTCTTGTTGCACATTGTGTATTAGTCATTCGAAAAATTGAATAATAAGCTTTAAGTGAATCACTCATTGATCCAAGTATTCAAATTTAATCTGCAGAAGCAGTCATTTTATACCCACAACACAACAAGGTCTGTATTGTAGTTTACCAATAGATTTTCCCATTTTGTTTTAAATTTTCTTCAAGCAGTATGTATTGTACTGATCTAGTCTTTTTTCCTTTGTTTCGGAAAACACAACAGTGTGGTGTGTGTAATAAACCCTAAAGTCCACAGTTCAGTGCCCCTTTAATTTTGGTCAGAAAACGGCAGGTGCTGCTATAGGGCTATATATCTATTTTTTGCTTCTGTTAAATATGACGATATCTGTAACTTCAAAATTGTTGGGAGGTTAATTGAGTTTCACTACATTGCTATAGCAACAGTTTTAGATTTTCTATTTGGTTATAATTATTACATTTATTGTTGCCAACAATCCTGTTATCTTTCAAAAATTTATTTGTGGTGAGAACGTGATGCAAGATTTTATATTGAAAGTTTTTCATTTTCTGCATATTTTGTTCCAATCAATGTAATTTTCTCTCTGAATGAATACTTGATATGTATTTGTGGGGTGAAAGATCAAAGTGTATTTATTGATAGGTCATGATAATCATAATTCATCAACATGCATTATCAAGCATATTACGTGTTAATTATATTTAATTTATTATACAATGTATATTATGTTGAAACATAATGGCATATGGATATATTTTATTACAGTGTATTATAACATGTTAAAGCATGAACACTGTAGACATTTTAAGGTAGAAGCCTACTCATAAACTTAATATAAGAATAATTACCTAAAAAATGTTGGGGGTCACCAGCCTTTATTTCGAGAAATTGATGGTTGTAATTTTAGCAAAAAGTCACCATTTTGACACACTTTTACCACAGACAGAGATATTATGCAATATCTCAAAATCTAGCCTGGTGACATCGACTGAAAAATCATGTATTGTTAATGATGGAGTACTTTTTGATGTTCTGAATTATTTAAAAAATCTGGGTTTTAAAAAGTATCAAAAAATGCAATTTTTCTTTAAAATTGTGTTTTATGGAATTGTTCTAAAAATAGCAATTTTCAAGAAATATTAGAACACATTTTTCAAAAAGCTTAACTGTAACACACAAAATAATGCTATTTCATTGTACCATGGGACATTAGCTTCATAATTGTACATAATAAACTACGGTAATTAACATTGTCATGCGACCAGTTTTGTCAAAAATTATGACTAGGCTTCTACGTTAAGCAAAATTGTATCATATACATGTGCAAAATATACAAAATATTGAAACGGAATAGAGAAGAAATATAATTTAACATGTAAATCTTTTTAAAAAATACAATTTATAGTACGCAAAAAATGTTTACAAATATTTGATCAGTGTTTCATGTACCTGTTTGACAATTGTTTCCAGTCCACAGTGATGTACATGTACAAAAATACGAGTTGAACATATCGTGGCATGTCCCTCCATTTTGACAGGGTAAACTAGCACATTCATCAGTTGCTGTGAGTTGACAGTGGTATATTTAGTAAATATATGTATATCGATTCAGTGAATTCATGAAGGTGACAATCAATTAATGTATTGTTGTGCTATATTTTCAGTGTGATTTAGTTGCTGTTTATTTAAAATTATTGTATTGTATTGTATTGTATGTGTAGTTTAATTGTAGTTTATTTTAAAAAGCTTTAATACAGCAATTACCAAAACTGAAATGTCATATTTCATTAAGGATGTAATAAAGCATATTATATTCTATTCTATAATAACCTCAAAAACTTCAATAGTGATATTCTGTCAATTTCAATTGTTATTGATGACAACTTTGAAATTTAAGGGTATTCAGGCAGACAAATTTTGTAAAAGTCACCCACTCCCTGTCTTAAGGACACCAGTGAAAGTCATTGCGATAAAATGTTCACATGCCGCTACACAATTGTGTTTTTCCTCCAACTCAATTTACAGTACAGTGATTTGTTAGTATAGATACAAGCAGCCTGTTGGCTGAGATAGCTCCGCTGTTAGCAATGCACATTTCAATTGAAGAACTGAAGATACATGATTACAAAATGAACAAAAACAAATCTGAGAGGTCCACATGTAGTACCTATATATGTAATATCAAAGCAATTGGACTTGAGGTTTTTAACAAGAAGTCGAAAATATCACTTTTTACCAAAAATTACAAAAAAATATTCATCAAAATTAGAGAATTAAAGATATCATTACAAAATTAACAAATCTGAGAGAGGTCCACATGTAGTACCTATATATGTAATATCAAAGCAATTGGACTTGCGGTTTTCAACAAGAAGTCAAAAATATACTTTTTACCAAAAATGACAAAAATATTCACCAAAATTAGAGAATTAAAGATATCATTACCAAACGAACAAATCTAAGAGAGGTCCACATGTAGTACCTATATATGTAATATCAAAGCAATTGGACTTGCGGTTTTTAACAAGAAGTTGAAAATATCACTTTTTACCAAAAATTACAAAAATAATCACCAAAATTAGAGAATTGAAGATATTATTACGAAATGAACAAATCTGAGAGAGGTCCACATGTAGTACCTATAAATGTAATATCAAAGCAATTGGACTTGCGGTTTTTAACAAGAAGTTGAAAATATCACTTTTTACCAAAAATTACAAAAATAATCACCAAAATTAGAGAATTGAAGATATTATTACGAAATGAACAAATCTGAGAGAGGTCCACATGTAGTACCTATAAATGTAATATCAAAGCAATTGGACTTGCGGTTTTTAACAAGAAGTTGAAAATATCACTTTTTACCAAAAATTACAAAAATATTCACCAAAATTAGAGAATTAAAGATATTACAAAATGAACAAATCTGAGAGAGGTCTACACCAAGTATCAAAGCATTCAGGCTTGTAGTTTTCAAGAAGAAGTCGAAAAAGTAAAACATTGACACGGACGATGACGACGGATAATCACTCATATGATAAGCTCCGCTCGACTAAGTCGACAGCGGAGCTAATAAAAGATGTTTTTTTTATTACAACATAAATACGTACTGTTTGATCAAAAACTGGTACATTCAATGAAATAAGCTATCAAAAAATAGCCCGGTACATTTAATAAAATAAGCTATCAAAAAATAGCCTGGTACATTCAATGAAATAAGCTATCAAAAAATAGCTCGGTACATTCAATGAAATAAGCTATCAACAAATAGCCCAGCTAATAAGGCCTAGATACTGTAGTGGGCTGTATATAAAATTAATATATTTAAAGTTAAAACAAAATTTTAACTACCAAAGAATAATGAATTATTCATTTGATATCATTACAGAGGCCTCAGGATGTCAAAGAACAATATTTGTACAGCTGAATGTACATTGTGTTGCTAATCAATGGAGAGAATATGGTATCACTACCATAGTTTGTCAAAAATAATTCAGAAATACCTGTGTTGCAGTTAATTCCTGTATAGCCAGTCGCACATGTACAATAATAACTACCTGGGAGATCTGTACAAGTGGCGCCATTCCTACACGGGTGACTAGCACACTCATCAATTGCTGCATTACAAAATAACCAAATCAGTTCAGTTTAGATTTCAATTATAAGACTTTCAATTAACAATATTGTGAAATTATGAAAAGCAGTTATGCTACAAATAACTAAAATATAAATAGATTATATTATATTTATAGTTTTTAACATAAAGATGAGAAAGAGAGCAGTTTTTACTATTTTATTAATATTTAAGCATATCTTAAATAGTGGTTTTATGTTTGTAAATGAGTGAAGTAGAGGTTACAGTTTAGATAATGCCAGTAGTAAAAATATTAGGACCACTGAGTAGTTTTTGATTACCTATTAAGCAATTATCTCCAGTCCAGTCTGGTGTACAGGAACAGTAATATGCCCCAAAGAGATCATGACATGTACCGCCATTGTAACATGGGGAGCTATCACATTCGTTAATTTCTGTAAAATTTGTAAAAAAATGTTTAGTATTGGTACGACTTGCATAATCATTCAACTGGAGAAAAAATTGGCAGCAGACACACTTTGCTAATGAATGAGAAAGATCGTGTTTCACTGTACTGTGTGTTTTTGAGGTACCGGTAAGATAAAATAAACTTAAAGTAACTAAACAAACAAGTCATTGTCAATGACACGTCCCCGTTCCGTTCATATTTGAGTGACATATACATTCAAAGCAGATCATGACCGAAATGCACCTGCATATGTACAACACATTGTGCTAAATCTGAACAAAATCCATCCATGCATGACTGAGATCCGGTTCTGGAATTGTGAAAATACGTGATTTTGTTAAGCTATTGTTAAGCAGATCATGAAACAAAGG